AAGAATGAAAGAGTGTTCCGAAACAATGCTTTTACACATAAGTTTTATTGGGATATACTTTTACGTGTTCACGAAAAATCTGAAAACAAGGTTGAAAAGGACAAGAAAAATTTGTCTATCTTTAACGAAGTTTTGGCAAATAATATTTCACAATCCACCTCCTCGATCTCTTAATCTCTGAGAATAAGTAATCGCCATATAGCACCAATGTAAACCAGAAAAGCAAATTTTCGAAAATGGAAGGAAACATCCGACTACGGCCTTACTTGTTAGAGTAGGAAATTTGCTTGTTGATTTCACGCCGCCAAATAGTATCAAAATACTCGAACTTCCCCCCTTTGAATTAACCATTAAAAGTGACAATACGGAGTGACCGAAAGAGAAGCTTAACCCGTTTAGTCGCTTGTGTGGGATATATAACTGGATCTCGCTGTACGGTCAGGGTGAAATACAACAAAAATGGGGGGGTCACATAAATTACGTTGAATTCAGGCTGCTATAATTTTAACACATAACATTCGATGATGCTGCTCCACATTTAACAAAGTAAATCAAGGGGTATATCTTACCTAAATGCTAGGCAGCTCTGCAGATCGTGGACGATAACCCAGAAATCCGTGACCGCTTGCATGTCAACAAATCAACATATCACAACAAACGACCTCGTGAACGCTTTATCTGCTTCATCAGAGGAGCCAAATGGATGAAAATTAACCAGCTAAATGGTCCTTCTCCCATACATGACACTTCAACACGACTTAGCCAAAGTATCCAATCTATAAGACATGTCTGCTGTTGATTGGGTATGCAAAAAAACTCCCGTGAAAGTGCTTCAGAACAGCTTTCGGCCATTACAATTTCCCGTCAGCAAGTACTTCCCAGCAAGCTTGACGCATGCGCAAACGTTACCACTTGCTGTTAGCCTAACCCGGGGAATGAAATGTGAAAAATTAAATGATTAGATGTTTAGCGTGATTAGATGAGCTTCGAAAATTGTACATGGATGGAATAGCCATCTAGAAATTTTTTGCCACATGAAAAAACTACTCTAGGCAAAATTTGCTTCTCCGAACAGATATTTTACAGAAAACAGTCGTTGGATGCCCAAAATTGTGAAGAACAACAATAGGTCTAATTGCAGCACACTTTTTTGTTCATTTCCTTAATTTCCTTTGATTTGCATGACTACAACGTGAAACGTCCAGAAACTTCAGTCCTGTTCACGTTTTTATGGAGGAAATGTGGTACATGTTCTTGTTCACTTTTTCCACTGCCGCTCAGTTTCTTTTAGCTTCGCTATAAAAGTCGTATCTGTTCGGATATCCTAGGGCAAATTGAACCTTTTTGAAAATTACAAGGCTTCAATAAAATTTTCCCAATTGATTGACCTAGAAGCAATAGTACCATCCCTCCCATAGCAAGTGCTGGATTGTCGCGCGGACGCGGTCGCTAAACTTGAATATTCACGTCGCCTATTAAACCGTCGGCTATTTATGGTTTTGGCGCGAGACTTGTGCCATTCTACGTCAGCTCAGTCCTTCTGATAGTTTTCGTTTTGTTTTGCAAGTTTTCCTTTTCTATAATTCATTTTGTTACGTCCTCAGATCTGTATGTTTTGGAATAACGTTTCTTATTTCGGTATATAGTTTATGAATTTAGGTATTTAGACCCGCACCCTTTTCCATAAGTATAATTTTGGTGTAGTCTATGTAATATTTAGCAATTCTTGAATGAGGCTGAGTGGGATATGAAGAATTCTGCAGATCGAGGAGGATGTTATCCACCGAGGCCCCAGGCGGAGGTGGATAACACCCTCAGAGATCTGCAGAATTCTTCACATCCTGCGATAGCCGCGAATTCAATAATTGCTTTATTATTCATTCAAAATAATTCCAACTTTAAAAACAAGCTTACAATGCTTACCTCAGTCGATGTTAAGTTCACATCGATAGTGCATCTTTCTCGGGAAATTTAGCAGATAAAGGTCTGCTCAGGTCTGCAAATATACTCCAAATAGCAGATGTTGTCTGTCGAGTTGACTTGTCGCTGTTCTTACTATGTTTTTAGACAATATTTCGCCGTGAAACGAGTACAATGTCCGTCCGACAGTTCCGCTATTTTGTTCAAACAACCAAAACAACTCAACCTCGTCCCCAGGTTTCCTCGGTCAACGGTTCAATATGACAGTTCAGCCGCTGGTTACGGTGAAATTATGCGTGTGCTGTTAGGCAACCAGAATCGGAGAAATATTTTGAATGAATAATAATGTAATTTATTATACAAACACCAATGAAATACCAAGTGAGCTTTCGCGCGAAAACTTGATACCTTCACATGTGAAAATATCACCATTGTCATGGCTTCATAATAAACCGCACCTTTCAGACGAAAAAACTTTTTAAGTAAAATGGTTTGGCATTTCATTGGTGTTTATATAATAAATAGAACATTACATGGTCGCTTGGAGATACGAAATTTCTCTTCTCGTGTTGAAAAAAATATTTCACTCGTTCGCTGCGCTCACTCGTGAAATATTTTTCAACACTCGAAGAGAAATGTGGTATCTCCGTGCGGCCATGTAATATCCTCTATGTATTTTCCTTGATCCCTTTCTCCGGCGTTTTACGTGCCACTGCATTTAAAGGAATACGTTTCCACACAATTTTGTTGGCCACTTCTCAAGGGTGGTTTTTAAGTGGTTTTTCGTATCTATCGTGGTACAAGTTCTAGCTTGGGACATATATTAGTACTTTGGTACTAAAGGATATCATTGATTTGACATCTGCATCAGATGACTGACTGGCGCATCCTAAATATAGGTTTTCGCATTGAATATCCCGTGTTAGTGGAGTGAGAATTTGTTGTGTTACAAGGTCGTTCAACGGAACAAGCTGGAACGACTGAGCTCGCAAACAAATGTGAGGTGTTGTGTTACTGTATAACGGTCGGTTCATGATTGTAAAGGTTTGTATGGGATCGCGACTGATCTAATTTAAAAAATAAGTAAATAAAAAACGTTAATTTTTGAATAAAAGTTAAGTTACCTTCATTCGATGTTGTATTCCTCATCTTTTATTCACATTCTGGCCCCATTTCTACCGATCTCGACGATTTACCGTCGACAGAGTTTCCACTGAATTGTAACACAACACCTCACTCTTGTTGTTATGTTTATAATCGCTCCCGCTATTGTATACTCAATTGAGCTTGGGCCGCCTGTGTTCTTCGAAATGAACCGCCGATGGTCGTTGCTCTTGACTTGGTAGCCACGCCGCACGTTCAAAAGGCCCTCGACAGGTGCTCACCATTTAACACAAACCACCCGGATCACCCCCCGGGTGAAAATCTTGTGCATAAACACGAAACCATGAAAGTTGATCATGACTTGTTGGGAGAACGATCCGCAACAAAGTAAGCCCAACAAATCTAAACTAAATCCAAAAAATCTAAACTAAATCAAGTATAAGTAAAATTACATCGCCTCAAATCACAGCCCGTATTTTCTTAGGGTTCCCAAACGGAATGGCGTAAAATCGTTTGATTTTCCAACCGGAATTTCCGGTTTTCCCATGAAAATGTACTCCCATCACCCATAATGCAGTGCAATCTCCCAGTAACCTACCGAAGTACGAAAACCGGCCATCTTCAATCTCACAATCTACAGTATGGGTGATCCAGAGGAGTTGTGTTTGACCTTAACATTAGATTTAGTACCATTTTTCAACATTTTTAGAGAAGATATGGAAGAAAACATCAACAGTCTAGCAAAAGATTTGGAACAATGCTGCGCTGGGAATCCCGATGTTGAAGTCATTCCCACCGGAAGCGGTTTTGAAGGTCTTTCTCTTCCCCATCTTGATAGACTAACCGCATGGAATACTGATGCAGACCATATGATTATCAGAACTGATTTAAAACTACTGGAAGAAGTGAAATTACAAGAAAGAACCACTCAGAAAGGTGATAAAGAACTGCAAGACTTTCCTGGAAGCGAGCCCGGAAGTGAGGAACGTGCGATTAGTAAGTAGTGAGGAACGTGCGATTAGTTCGACGAATGAAGAGGGAGCCAAAAATATTGTTTACATCTTCAATGCTTCACAAGCTGGCTATGCACACTTGACGAAGAAACAATTCTCCCAGCCAGCAGACGCAGATTTGGTTTCAGAACACTGCCTCCAGAACTTAAAATTCATCGAAGATAGTAAGGATTTAATTCCACTCAACCAAGGTGCTTTGATAACCGCCGGGGAAGGTTCAATTACGGGTCCTTCGTTCTCTCTCCCTTACACAATGGGAACATTCACGGTTAATCGTGATTTCGTTTATGGCCTAAAATGTTCCTTTTGGCCTTCACAAGGAGAAGAATGGGTACATCGTAAACGAGAATGTTGTTGGCCCAGCACCCTGCAGCACCGCAATGGTTTCCACAATATTAGCCCAGGGTTGTCACATCGTACCCGTTGGGTCACACAACAGCGTTTTGAGAGATTTCGAGTGGAGATTTTCGTTTTCTGTAGCTGAGTTAATGCTTGCCCGATCGTTGTCAGAGAAACAAAAGCTGGCTTATTCAGTTTTAAAGGCGTTAATCAAGAATGAAATGAAGCTACGTGGGCTAGACGTGTTCTCTTCGTACCATCTCAAAACAAGTTTATTTTGGTGTCTCGAGGAGAAAGGAATGGAGTTGTGGGGCAAGAACAGCTTAGCCAAAAATATTTTCAATCTCCTAGACTTTCTCGTCGCATTCTATGCCAGAGACTGTCTTCCAAATTACTTTATCTCGAAGAATAACATGATAGATCATCGATCTTCCAAAGAAATTCTAGCTACATGTCACGCTCTAAGAGACATACGTGACAATGTAACACAATACCTTTGCCGATACATCGAAACCAATCAATCGCTTCCCGTTTTGTTTGATACCCCACTTACCCGTTCTCGCTCAAAGAATCACGGATAAATTTGGAAAAATTCTACAAAGTTGTAAATATAATTTCCTTGTGATGGCTTTAGCTCATGTTCTGAAGAAAGAAAGAAGGCTAGATGTAAGCCACAACTGCCCAGAAGCTAATTCTCTTCTTAACGAGGCTCAGCTTCTACATCAAGCTTCGATCAGTAAAGAGTCTCGTGATAAGTTGCATTTGACTCTAGCTAAAGCTTCAGCTATTCCGCAGACGGAAGAAAGTCCAACACCGAGTTTAATTCTTTCACCACTAGAAGAGTATTTATCTGCAGATCAGTTAAAAGTTACTGAGAGTAGTGCTGTAGCTCTTGCAGTGTTTAATGTATTTTTGACTCTTCATCCAAACACAGCTGGTGACAATGTTGTAGAAATGAATTCCTTAGTGCATCAGGACTACCTCACCAACCCTTGCTTCAAGGAGTGTCTGTTCTGGGCTGGACGACTGCATGAGACCTACAGTGACGCAATTTACGATTTCGTGCTAAAGAAATGGAAAAATGGACCACAGTTCTACACTGATGACGATGAGGCAAAGAAATTCATGAAGCTTTTGATGATAATTTTGGGGAAACCGATCAAACAGGCCAGTGCTGAGACAGGATCTTTAGTCAAGCGGGGGATTGAAGGTCAGAGATTTCTGATGATTCGAGTCCTAGCTGATTATTTGCTGCATGTACATTTGGAGTGCTCTTACATTGCCTACCAAGCCGCTGCGTACCTCATGGGTCGTAGCGTGCTCTCAGAAATCTACAATGTGATTAAATGATCCGCCTGTTCACAGAGCAAAGCTCGCGCTATTGAACCCGTACTATCAAAACACGAGTTACAAGCAGAACTTTCCGAAGAAGAATTTGGAAAACTGGTTGAAGTGCACCTGAAATGAAGAAAGTACAAGATTCATACGTTGGTGTTAATCGGTACTGTGCCTGATCCACAGTCGTTTTTTAGTTCAACCGGAAATGCATGGTCCCGTGTTTGCATTCTTGGGCAGTAGTTGTGCCTAAATTTTCCGACAAATCAGCCTTATAAAGACACTTAGCAATACACGTTTGCTATATAGCGTCGCTCCCTATGTCTTTCATACCACGTTTCAGAAAGGAACACTATAACATTTTAATCCATTTCGTATTACTTTATAAAACCAGAATTTTCTATGAAAATTTTTGATTCTTGACAAATTAGTATCATTATTTTTTTTTCTTTTTGGGTAGGATTGATACGATTGCAATACTTCTAAAAGCTTTAAAGATGAGTATATTAGGTAAAGCTTTGCTTATTTTTTCGTAGGACAACACGCTTGAGCGGCCAAACGAAAGTTTTGAGAGTGTCGTGGTGAAAACGAAAAAGGAAACTCGGATTGCCTAGTTTCAGTCTAAAAAGACTAAAAATGAAGACATAACTAATAAAAGACTTAATCTTAAAATACGACCTCCAGCATCTTACCTAAAATCGTCAGTTTCTTATTTTAAGACTAAACCCACCTTATCTTAAGATATAGAGTCTTAACCGACCATCTTGACGGGATACGCACTTACTTCTCCATAAGATTTTTCCGACCGTGATTTAAGATTTTACACACGTCTTGAATATATATCTTCTATTTTTGCGTCTTAGTTTTTGTCGCAACCTTAAGTTCGTAGCATATTAGTTAAGAGGAGTGACCTCTTGAGGGAAATAACCAAATTAACGCCGACAATGAACTATTTTGGTGCATTTCCGAGGTAGCACTTCTTTTCATAAAAGTATGTTTAATTTGAGTTTTCAGTAGATAACAAATTAAAGCCTTGTTTGAGTTGCGAAATTTGTGCAGTTTGACATTTTTGACCTCCAACTAGTCCTTCGTTGAAATTTTCCATTAAATGACTACCTAACTTATTTTCAACCCTTTTTAGTGTGTTTTCTTGAGTTTTTAACCGATTTCGTGGCAGTGTATAACTTTAATTAGATGTAGGTAAACAACTATTGTTCTAAATTCTGCTTAGCATTTTTAATATGCCTTCTGTGTTTTTGAACACTTCCGTAGTTATTTTATGCAAAAGTTTCGACCAATCACTTTTCGAGAAGAAGCTTCACACCTCTCCGAAATCGACAAGCCAGGATATTCAAACTGTAAGTTTAGTACTTTCCCTTCTGATAATATGAAAAGTTTGTGTACACATGAGTAGATACCTTATAGTTTTTATATTGTTGCCCTTGTTTTATTTTCGCCAGATGACTTCAGGTTATTTGTCAAAACTTAGTACTAAAACAAGAGAGGATATAACTGTTTATCCTCTCTTGACTGAAATTATACTTAGAAAATCCAGGCTTGTCGTCGATTTCTTGTCGGTATGGTCTCCCAAAAACTGTATCGAAACACATTTTCCGGATACCTTCAGGCTCTCTCTCACGCGCAAGTTATATGTAGCGCGTTCCGGTTAAACTGAAAATACCTAAAACGCTATATCAAATTAAAGCTTATTAAACTGGCTTTCTTAATAAATCAACAGTTTTTTTTTAAAATTGCACTGTTAAAAGACTCAAAGCAATGTTTATTTTTG